AGATAAAATAAATCATTAATTTGTTGTTGTTGTTTTTTTAAAGAAAGGGCTGAAAGAAGAAATCCTGTGTGGCAGCACTTCATACAGCCTGCATCAGACAAGGTTTTAAATTAAGACTTGTGTAACATTTGTTATCATTCTTATTTTTATCAAGTTAATGGAGGAAAAAAGTAGTATCGGCTTCAAGAATCGGCCAAAAAAAATCGGCTGCACGTATCAGTTAGAGTGATGTTTAAAAAATCGGTATAGGTCTTCAAAAACCTGTATCGGTCTATCTCTACAAGGCAGCACAAGTTATTTGGAAAACCACAGAGACTGTGTACACCTGAGTAGAGTTGAATTGAGTCGTTACCAGACTGGATAGTGAAAAACATTCAACTCACTGACAAATGTTARATCTTAAAAATCTATATTATGAAGAAATTAATCAAAGTAAAGCACTGAGTAGTACCAAGTAGTGAGCCTGCTTCAACACATGAAGAGTGTTGTTTCATAAACCCATGAATAACTTATTTATAAAGCATTAATAAATATTTTAAAGAAGCCATTATTGAAGAGAGGAGGAGAGGAAAGCAAGTCTTTCATTATTTAAATACAAACATTGTTTCAAAAAGCTACCTGTCTGGTACAATTGTCTCCAAAGCAGCTATGAAATAGGGCACGACAACGTTGATGCCTTTCAGGTCAGTACAGAAGAGAGAGGAAGAGTTGAGGATGATAGAAGCCAGGACAGGTCTACAGATGAAATCAGAAATCTGGAGACCCTGAATCAGAACCATGTAGAACCTAAAAAAAAAAAAAAACAAAGATTAGAAACAGATTTAACTTATCTACGCTGTCGACAGTAGTGAAAATATAACTTCGAGCTGTATTTTTTGTTATTACTACCTGGACAGGTAAACAGGAAGAATATCCTCTCCGGTTTTTTTGCTACAGAAAATGCGACAGAGTGTCCCGCAGGCCTCGGCGCGCCCCGCCTCGTAGCTCTCGGGGAACTCGTTGATGTCAAACAGAGGGTTGGGCACCATGGAGTCCGTGGACATTTGGGAACCCTTCCTCCTCAGCTCCAAACCCACCTGAGTGGCGATCGCTGAAGGACGTGCCAAGAACCAGAACAAAAAGAACCCAGAATCRTTATGCGCTCCACTGCTTTCGTGCACGTACGAGAAACGGGCAAACACAAACATATCTACTTTATGTGGACGATAAAAAGGCAACAGCAGAGATTTAACATGTAAAAACAAAAAAAGCAGACATTTATTCACAAAAGAGAACACTTCAATGATTCCAAACTGAGACATCCTTTGAAAGCATTCGGAAAAGGAAACTCTGACACAAAGAATTTGTGATTAAAGTTCAACACTGTTACAAACATATAGTGAACAATATGCCATTTATTTGCATGCCCACAATGCAAAGTCCCTGTGTCAGCTTCCTTCATGTTGCAATTATATGACTGTCACTTAAAAATACGGATCATTCAATTCATGCACTGAGGCACAAAAGCAATAAAATCACAACTCAAGTAAACAGACAACATAAAAATAATGGTACCACTTTACATTAAGGCTCCCATTATAAAGAGTTCATAGATATGCTACTAATTCATCTGTAAACACTTTATAAATCATTAATAAATGTTTATTGTGCAACAATAAAGGATGATAAAGACGAAACCTCCAGTTTCTTACCAAATAATGAGACAAATCTGTTCACATACATATTACATCTAAAAGGTGGTATATTAAATATTTCAAACTAGGTTTCTACATTGTAAGCACAATAACAATTAGAAACACATATTTTAATATATTAATATTGTACTGTATTACTGCATTATTAATATTCACAACTGTCAAAGGGAGACTTATAGCAAAGTGTAATACAGTACACTATTTATTAWTACTACTACAATGTTGATGTATCAAAAAGCTAAAAAAAAGTCATGTTAATGTACCAAATAATCCAACCCAATCTAAAATAGTGTAGTTTTACACTGTACAATAGGGATCCCTTTAATATGTGTGGATATTTATAATGCAGTAATACAGTACATTATTATATGTTAAAATATGCATTTCCTAATCATTATTGTACTTACAATGTAGTTCACTAGTCTGAGATGTTTAATACCCAAACAGATTTGGCTCAGTATTTGGTACTAAACTGGACAGTTTAGTCTCTTTCTTGACCTAATTAATGCATAATAAACACTTAGTAATAATTTATTAAGTGTTTACAGATGAATTAATAACCTATCTATAAACTCTTTAAAAGTCATCKATAAGGGGAGCCTTATTGTAAAGTGGTACCAAAATAATTTACAAAAATAAAAAACATTGATGCTGAAGTTGAGTGTGAGGGGGGGTCTGAAACGCATAAATCCAGATTAGCATAAATCAAAAAGGTAAATAAATAAAATGATGTGGCATTGTAAAAAATAAATAAATAAATAAACTGGCAACATTATGGCTGAGACAAATGGTCAGTTGGTGAAATCCATTTCATCACCTTTGGGGGAAAACGCTGGTAAACTTTTATATTTATGACAAAGATCAATGGGGACAGAAAACGATGGCGGTGATGGCAATGATCATGAGGAATTCAACTGAAAAGCAGGAAGATTTGTCAAGAAACGCAAATCAAGTGAGAGGAGGGAAAAACAAAAACAAAAGCTGCCATTCCTACTTACAAGATTTATAAGAAAGGAGAATTTGGATAAAAGAGGCTGCAAGATAACAGAAATAGTGGAGAGACACAAAATCAAAGCAGATCCAATATTTCAGGATCAAAGTCATAATCAGGCATGAATTGTATTTTTGTTCTCCTCAATACACGACGTTTGACCAAATTACAACTACTGACATTAATCAGACATGGTAGACACGTGCAGGACATTACACCAAGAAGAGAAATATAAACAGAGAGCCAATAATCAGCTGTTTATCCTTTCAAATAATGACTCTGTGGGGTCATCGACTCTTTACAAAAGACAGGACTATAWTGAATCCTTTGTGTGTAATTGTAGCCTAAATTTAGCCAGTTTTAGAAAAGCTGCAGGATGCAAATGAATTAGGATATTTCCATCTGACTCCATGTGGCCACTTCTAACCAAGCCCTCCACGCACAGAAAGGCACAACAAAGTTTCTGAGAAAAAGATGGGGGAAAAAAAAGAAAACACGTCCCAATAACACACAGTAAAAAGAACAACAACACAAACACGTAACTCCACAAAAAACACACACTAATGAACAGCAACTTAAACACTTGCTCATGCGTGAGTTACAAAAATAATAAAACATTACATTCCCCTTCTCACCRGTCATGCTGGGGTCTCGGCTGAGGCCGCTGTGGAGTTTACAGTGGACCAGAGCGGCGTCGAAAAGCCACTGACCGAACAGGTTAAGGATGCTGTTGACCTTRGGCCGTGCCGGGGCCGGCAGCGGCCGGGACTCTAAACTACTCTGGTTGGGGCTGGAAAGCAGGGTTGGGGAGGACGTCGGCTGCTGCTGCTGCTGTTGCTGGGACGCTTTGGTTGGTTGACTGTTACTGCTCTGCAGGGTGGAGAGAGGGCAGATATGTGACCGAGCTTCAAACAACTTGAACAGCTCAACTAAGAGAGCTTTTATTCACATACATCAGATGGTCTGAACACAATCTAACCTCAACACTGATGTAGGAGCCTCACTGAGCTGATGTGACCCCATATAAATATTCTGAAAATCCAGCCTTTTTTTGTTTGTTTTAGTGAGAAKTTTATCTGAATCAGGCTCAAAATAAATGTTCAGTTTGTTGGGATGTTTTTTATTTACTGTCTGGGTATGTTTGTCTTGGGTTTAATGTTTGTTCTGGTTGTTTTTAGAGCTGGTTGGACCCATTGAGGTCACTGTTAAGAYCCAACGTTTTTGAAAAATTATACCAACTCATGAACATTTTTTATGAATAAATTACTCAAGAGTATTTATATTCGATCAACTCACATCCAAAAGAGTCTTCCATTAGATTTTTTTTTTCCATCTTCAGCATAGATATCTTCAGTGTTGGACAAAACTTTCACAAGTTGTATAAACGTAATTGTGTGACAGGGCCTTTAGCTGTAATGTGTTCACTTTATGTTTACATAAGCAAGCAAAGCGGTTTTATGGGTTAAAATGTTTACTTTTTGCTTTGACACAGAGCTAGCAATCAAATTTATAAAGATAATTCTACACAAATTCAACTCAAATGACTCTTAAGRGCTCGACACACGGGAGGCGACGTCGCTCACTCTCCATTCATTTCCTATGGAGCCTGTGCGGTGAGGCGACAATCGCTTGCCCTCCTCCAGCTAAGCGACCGGCGAAAATAGTGCATGTGAAATTTTGCGCTCGTACACGTAGACGTGCACGCAAGCTTGCGACGCGAYATTTGAAAGTCAAAAAATGTTCAACTTTTGTCGCTGTCGCTTAGCGTACAACCAATCAGTGAGGGTTTCATTGACTGACCAATGAGCAGAGAGTATGCTACACACTGCAGTTAGCTAACACTTTCACCAAGGGATTACTAAAAAAGGCAGCTTTGTGGGAATTTGTTGGCGCCAGGGTGAAGTTATCCGGTAAGTTTGTCCTCATAAAACTGTATCTTGGTGTGTGTTTGTTTTTCAATATCATTAGCATCGCAAGATTTGTTTAGTTTACATGTCCGTAATGCACACCCCTCTTTTTTGTTAACCACCAACAACCTTTACAAGAGGCAGTAGAAGAACCAATCAAATTTCGTGAAGACAAGCGACCCAAGAGTGCGATTCGCAACGCTGCCGTCCCTATCGTGTCCTGTGTGTCAGGTTTCACCCTGGCTGCGATGACAGCCRTTAATCGCTGTAGTTTGTCGCTCCCMGTGTGTCGAGCCCTTAAGCTGTGTTAATGCCAAAATAATAGCTGTCTGAATTGTGCTTTAGTTTTTACAGAAACAACAGTCTTGCCGTCACGTGTTCGACTGCCTGTTATAGACAGCCAGTAAATGACAACCAGTCATCACATTACAAATGACTGAACAGCCTTTAAGAAATCACAAAAAGATGATCTGAAAAGAAGTGAAAATAAAAAGTAAAGTGCTTTAGAAGTCAACTCCTAGCAACATAATGCAACAGTTAAAAAAATTAAACATTTGGAGTTGATTTTACTGGATGTCCTTCCTTTGAAACAATGAAACTTACAGTTGAACTCTTGCTCGTAGTTTTAGTGACCACCGCGTGGCGTTGCTTGCGGCTGTGAGGGGGTGTCGTGTTGGTGATGGAAGGCGGGGGGGACATGCTCATTCTGTTCACCGGGGTGGGCGGGGCACTGTCAGCTCTGGGACGTGATATACCTGTAATTTAAAAAAAACGTAAAAAGTAAAGTAAGCAGAGCCCACGTTGTTGTTTCCTCTTTAAGCTGGAGAGTGGGGTTTAATTACTCAGAGGCGATGATGTGAAGAGAAGAGAAAATGATTTGGTGAAGGAAACGGTGAGTTAATCAGGGGAGGTGATCGTTTGTAAACATGCAAGACGATAGTTAGATATGAATCACGAAGAATATTACTGATTGACTCTTTATGCCTGAAGGAAGCCCTTTGGTGGTGATCTCATAGTCAAGTCTGAATAACTGGGGTGTTAAGTTGCTGAGTGACAAAAACCCAAAGACTTTAAAGTTCCAGTGTGCAACATTTTGACTAATTACTGCGTAAATGCAATATATTTGTACTAATGCAGGAAAAAAGGAATCTTGTGTTTTTGTTACGTTAAAATAAAGCAAAAACAACAACTTTTCACTTCACCCTTTCTTACTACAGTGGCCCCAAAGAGACAAAGCTGTCGCTGAATCTAAACCAGATCTGTTTCATTTTTTTTTGCGACCACTGTAATTTAAAAGGGCGTGCAGGGGGGTAAATTACTCACTAAATACTACACACTGGACCTTTAACGGATAAAACACCACAAATAAAATAAATCATCTGTCCAGAATATCTCATTATATGATGGATCAGCTGGTGTTGGTACCATGAGAGAGCAGCACTGGACAAAAAGAGAACACCCTCTCGCGTACATCTCTCTTTTCAACAGACACACCTACAGCGTAAAGAGAAAAATACATACGGACATGTTTCTATTCAAGCTTTGAAAAGTATGTTTCTATAATTCAGAATCGCCATTTTCAGTTTACACAGGAATAATGTCAAGATTGTACTGGGAGAAAGGAAAAGTTGGGGAAAAAAATTATTACCCAAGTTTTATTTGTCTAAAAAATAAAAACTGTAACTTTGCTCTTTCTACTGCTTGCAAAAGCCCACAATGTGGTGCTTTACTGATTAAAAAAAAGGTCAAACTTTGTTCCTTAATGAGCTTAAATGTATATTTTTCCAGTTTTTCATTAACAACAAATAAATAACAAACCTGTTCCTTATTCCGTTTATTACAGCGTCTATATTTAKTTACTGTCCAGTCAAACTGTGATTCTGTCACTTTCACAGGCATTTCTGAATGTAATGTGAGCAACATTTGTGGAAAACACACCAATTTCTGAATTAACGATACCTGAAAACAGCAAAATATTTACAACAAACTAACATTTCTATGTTGACTTTTTCTTTTATCTTTCACTATCCACATCTATCATTTGATTAAAACGTAATTTTAGGGTTAATCTAACCTAAGATTTTTTTTTAATYCTTCCTAAAAGGACAGTGAAATTTTACTAGCCTTGAAAAATCACAACTACAGATCTTATCTTCTTGTTTTTATTTGTTTGATTTTGACATTTAGGGAAAATTATTTTTTTAATCAGTTCTGAGTGTCACATAACTCAGCATCTTCTTACCGAGGAAAGCATCCACGAGGCAGCTGATGCCCTTCATGGCCCTGAAGAAGATCTGGGGTAGCTGTTTTAAACATGGGTGCAACACGACCTCGTGGGGAATTCCACTCGAGTTTAAAAACTGTTCTTGAAACTTCGGAGTGGTGCTCACTATCGCAGGGTTGCTCAGGTCTACCGGATTGCTGCAAATAAAAGAGGATGCGCATTCAAGATTTGAGTAAAAAGCATAGAGATCTATGACTRAATGAGCAGAAACGCCCTAAATAAGATGAGAGATGAATAAAATACAAACTAAAGGTCAATTATTTAGACTTAAATGTAGTCAGTTGTTTAAAGGAAGTAGAGCACAGGTAACTTCCACTTCCTCRTAACAAACGTGTTTAAACAAACCATCATTCTTTCTTTCAGTTAAAAGAAGAACTYGCACTGAGGCATCACGCACCCGATCATGTGGAGGAAACGGTACCACGTCTGCGCCACACAATCGTTGTCCATCTCTAAAGGAATCAAGTTGGTGTCCTCGTCAGGAACTTTAAAAGGTGGGAAGGATGGGCCGTGAGTGAACCGCAGAAGTCTGTCGTGTCAAAATGGGACAAAAATACWAACATTATTATTTCCCTTTTAGTGAAATTATTCATTTAGTAGTCTTCATTTTTTCTAATTAAAATATAAAAGCAGGTTTAAAAACACTCATTTAACTGACAAATTTGATTGATGCAAATGAAGTTGCACCAGGTCGRCTCTTACCTTGAGGTTAGTGCACAAGCGACTCTGCTCCACTGCTCTATAACAGGAGGGTGATGTCTCCAGTTGGACAGCATCTCTCTCGCTGTCTTCCAATATGGCGGCGTKGGGAAGCAGCGCGCGCACGCAAGCAGCCACACCTCGAACAGCACCGCCATCAATTTCTCTGCCAGCTTCTCCGCTACCCCAACTAAACAAAATAAAACAAACAAACAAAAAGGCGCCGTTGGATTACCGTTAGTCACCAGGACTGAGGACGAAGAAACGGGCCGGTAAGCACTTACCGCCGACCGACGGCGGTGCGAGCAACGTGTCATTGATGCGAAGCAGGAAGAGCAGCAGCACCTCCCAGGTTTCCCTCACCATGGAAACGGATTCCCGCGCCAGCTTCTGGACCGCGGTCAGAACCTGCTGGCAGAGCCTGATGTGGTTCAGACTGTGTTGCTCAGGCCTGGAGGCAGAAACAGTCAAGTCTGACAAATGCTGAAACAACAAGCAGCTTATGTTGATCATCTCTTACAACAGTCTCTGTAACTATTTGTTTTTTCTGACAGATCAGTGGTTTTAGCACTGATGCCTCACAGCAAGGAGGTCCTGGGTTCTTTCTGTGTGGCGTTTGCATGTTCTTCTCATGTTTTCATGGGAAACACACACTCATATTTCCACATACCTTGGCACAAAGACGTTGTAGAGGTGTTTGAGAATGGTCTGGATGTACATGTTGGGCTCCTTCACCACAGGCTGCGGCATCGAGTCCCTCGGCGACACCAGGGCCATCATCCAGTCCGTGTACACGTCCACGCACAGCTTGACGGTGTCYCCCTCCAAAGGGAGTGTCAGGCCATAACAAAGCACCTCCATGGTCCACTTTACCTGAGAAGCAGTGTTTTTTTTWTTTAGATGAGTCACTGTTTGTTGAACCATTGGGTTTTACAAAACATTACAGGGGTGGAGACTCATTTATCGTTGCGTGTTGCTCAACATATTTTTAGTAGCATACTTTTGAGATAATATGAAACTATGTTGACCGTCAAAACTATCTCAAGAGGGTCATAATGACGAGTAAAGCACTTCTGACTGATCCACAGTGGGAAAACAATAAAAGGCCAAAGGTTTATGCTAGGATGATGACAACAATAAAAAAATATGTACTGTGGCTCTACTAAAACATCTCWTTATAAAAATAATAAAAAAAGAACACCAGATCATCATTTTGTGACTGATACACTATAAATTTAAAAGATGACAGAAAAAGAAAATCATGTTTTATTCAATAACATGTTCATACAAATCTTAAGTTGTTTAATTTAAAACTTTAATTCACCACAAAAGACAGATATTATATTGAATTAAATCCATGTCTTAATAATTTACTGAAGTTTTTTGAATGACGTTTGAGTTTGTTTTAGAATTTATAGATTAATGTCTTTTATACTCAAAACTGAAGAGTGTTTAAAACCTCAGCACTTAAATATTAACAAAATATTATTAACTTTCTGTCACATTAATATCTGATATTTGCTGTCATATCATAAATTAAAGCCACTGCTTTACCAGCTCAAAGCAGCATGCGGCAGCAGTTGGTTCATTTTATAGTTTTTTTGTTTTAATACGAGAAGGATTTTTTAAAAGCCGATGCTTTTTTGCACATTGGGCACACAAAGAGGCCAAAAACTGGGCAGCCATAATAACAAAAGCAAGCTGAATCAGCATCTGTCAAAATCCTACAAAGTGACTCACAATCATATATCGCTAGCTACAAAACACAGTTTAAAAAAACCACAGCTTATAACGTCTTTATGCAAGTAAATACACAAAGCAAAAAAATAAATGTTAAAGTTTAGGTATTTTTGACTAACCTTGAATGAGAAGCTGAGGGCGAACTATTTAATTTCGAACTTGCATCAAGTGCAGACGATATACAAAACTATCAGTACAGCACTTAGCATCACGCTTGCCTTTACCTGGTAGATTAGCTACACAGAAAATAATCCCTGAGCAAAAGACATAAAACCCAAAGGGACTCAGCTTAATGGAGGGTAAACGTACTTTGAGAGCATGAGAAAAACATTTTTAACTCAATGTCAAGTCTATTTTAACACACATGCTCACACGCTGAGTGAAACATGCTGGTGATCGTATTCAACCTTTATTGTGACATAAGGGGTGCTGAATCTGGTTAAACTGAAAAAATTGGAAAAAAGCAAAATGCAAAACGGTTGTTTTTACAGTTGTCTGTGTGCACACACACTCAAGAGTGATTTGAATATTTGACAGCACAATATGAAAGCCAAAACTCAACACAACACTGTAGTTTGATTGAAAAATGTGTCATTTATCACTAAAGATTATACGGAAAAAATATGTAAACTGTTCCTTTTATTGTTTCTCTTTTAATTAAAATTACATAAACTTAAGATTTAACTTCTTTGTTAAGCATTCAAGCTTGAATCTGGCACTTAAAATATAACAATTAGCACTGCATTTCAGAAAAATGTTTTGTAGTTAGAGGTGTCTATATTAAGTTCAGTACCATTTACCATTTACCATTTATTAGGTTTTTATAGGGCTGGGCGATATGGCCCAAAAAAAAAAAAAACTCTGATTTATTTTCATCCCGAATTCAATTTTCGATTTTAATCGATTTGTTTCCCACTTAATGAAGTGCCTCTGTTTCAGGGGTCAAAACAAATTTGTTTTACTCCTGCTTTTTGTAACAAAGAGCCTTCAAACAGATTTAGCAGTGAGGTGATTGTTGCTCCAAGTCCAAGGTTGCAAAACCCTAACCAGTTCCAGATCCTCTTTGCTAGCTGCCATATTGTCATGTCATGTMCCAAGTGTCTTGAGGGACAGGTGGTGTGACCTCTGACCTGCAGAAGCCCCAACGAGTGCACTGGTGAGAAAAAAAAATCTTGATTTTCCCAAAATTAAATCTTTATAAAKGGCAAATTCAAATTAATCGATTAATCGCACAACCCTAGGTTTTTATAAGTGTTTTAGTCTGCGTACTTGCAATACTGAGTACTAATAACAAATAGTGAATAAGCTAGTATTTAAACATACAATGACTTTAAAAGAACATTTATTTTATGAAAAACACAGCAAATAGTCCGCTGTCAGCCCTCATCACCTGTGTTTATCTTAAAATATCTCCAAACTACAGATTTTTTATTTATGTTTTGTTTGTTTTTGCCCTCAATCATTTGCAAAACAGAAAATGAAATGTCACAAACCACAAAATTGTTATTGAGTATTTGTTGTTTTGTGTCATTTATGGTACATCGAGGGCCTAAATTTTTCTTGATACAAAAGCTAACTTGTACAAAATACACACCACTTTGACAACAYAGTCCAGGCTGAGCTGTGTTAACTGGCTTTGCCTGTTAAATATATTAAGGTGCTACAGCAGGATCAGTCCTCACACGGAGACAAGCTTCCTGGGCCAATAAGAGGTCCAGAAATAGAGGCAGCAGGCTGAAAGGAATCATTTTAAACGATTCATCGATATAAAGCGCGGTCCACTCGCTTACCTCTTTGTCTGTTTTGAGGATGTTCTCCGTGGCGACGGGGCTCACAGCCACGCCCAGAGGTTTGACCACAGCATTTGCCACCTCCGTGCCCACGCCGGGAGGGTAGGTGTGCAGAACGCTGAGGTGGCCCTGGTCACTCTGCACCACCAACTGCAGCGAGCGCCACTCGGAGTACATGTTGCTCTCTCGGTTCACACCTCTCGCCTCCCACCTGCAAGACACACAGCTGTGATCCTAAGGTGGAAAGTTCATGGTTTGTTCATCCAATCCAAGTTGAGCAATTAATCAGTTGTGACATTTACATGAGAAATATTTATTTCAAAACTGAGCTGRGAGAAAAGAAACTGCTCAACTTTAACTAGTTTAACAGGTTTTAGCTCATCTCGCGTGGCAYTGCATAAAAGATCAAAATGTATGACAATTACTAGAAAATAAAAACTTTGCAGCAGTAAACCAACTAATGTATGCGGATATAGGCTAAACAACAATACAAAGAGCTAAATGATGCAGCTTCTTACACYAGGTCTACAGATTTTAATGTTACCGCTTACGTTTCGTCCTCAGTTTCAAGTAAAATGGTCTGAAAAGTACCACCAGGGTGTTGGTGTCTCGGAAGGTTAAGTCTTTAGGATCGTTAGCAGGCAGAAGAATCACAACCAGGAAACGGATCGAGCAGCTCGTTAGCATTAGCTAGCATAACCATCTTCCTCTTGCTAGTGACATTAGCTTAACTTGGAGGCAGGGTTGTTTGACGTTACAAGACCGTCTTACTGAACAAGTGGAAAAAGCTATTACTATTAAAAAACTGATGGTTTTAGACACTCATTGTTATATATTTTAAACTACGTTGTATTACATTCTACGTAACGAGCTACTAGTTCGCTTCTGTGTTAGCCTCTTCGTTGACATTAGCTCGCTGTCTCTGCAGGCTAACTAATTGTCCAACTTTGCAAAGCTACTTAAGCTGTTTTTTTCTCATTTTTTTTTACCTGGAACAACTGGATACGTTGTCATAACAGAGCTCGAAAAAGTCCCAGGCTACGCTTTTCACAAAACTTGGTCTAAACCACAACAGCTTCCATCTTCGCAATGTCAGGGTTTGACGGGCTAACGGGGGAAACAGAATGGGGTGTTGTGTCGAAAAAAGCARCCCGGTCGCAGCAGCGCCACAATGGCTTTTGTTTTTCCACTAATGAAATTGCTTAACAAGTACAAATGACAAACTGGCTTTTAGTTTTCAGAACCTTTAAGAATATAATTGTGTAAAATTATGTTTAAGASATATTTGGGTACAGAGCGGGTTGTCAAGAATGTATGCTGCCAGGATGTGCGCCTCTAGCTATTCCTGACCAAAAAAAGGTTTTCGGCTACGACATTCTTTATCTGTGGTGCAAAAAATACTTTATGCTTGGATAACAACAACTATGGACATATGTGTTTTAAAGGGAAAYTTTTAAAAAGCACAAGTCCGTTTGATATTTTTAATAAAGATGCCTGAAAATGCCCCGCCCACTTCAGGGGTCCTTTAGACCGACAGGGTGCTTTTTTTCGACACTACACCAGCGGTTACCGCCCCCTAACGTGCCTGAAAGGTAGATGTTTTGAAGGAGACAAGAATTTATACAGGTGTGACTTAAATAAATAAATAAATAAATAAATAAATAAATTTTTTACTCTTAAAACTAATTTTATGAAGTAACTCCTAACGAAGCAACAAAATACAGGCTTTAATAGTAATTAAAGCTAATAAAAAATATTTTCTAACTATGCAGATGGCTCACCCCTTAAAGAAACTTAGTTCTGTTTTTTAATGCATCTGCATACACTTGCATTTAGCTTTTTTTCTACACATTTGTCTTTCCCCTAATGTTTATGTTCTTGATGTTTTCTCCTGCAGAGGGAGAATTTAAGCAGAAATGATGTCTCCTCAGTAATTCAGTGTCCTGTAAGAGCAGTCATTTGCTTGAGARTCACACAATCTGTGTTCAAATCTAAATACCGTTTATTGRTTTGCATTTCTGAAATTCAGATATGCACTTACCATACAGAGTTCTCAAAGATAATTCAAATTATAAGAATATTCATCTTATACTGCTTTATCTTAAACAAATAAAATATAGGGATACAAAGGAGTACATTATAAACATTGTTAACTGATTTTATTGGACACATCTCTGTTAGATTTCAACAGAAAACAACAAACAAAACATTTTATTTTGTTCTGGATGCAGTAAAACAGTAATGATCTTTACAGTAGGGGGCAGCAAAGATAGGCTGTGGAAAAGTAACAGTCTCATGTAAACTGCATGTTTGCGAACATTTCAAGCCATTCATTTTTATTCTTACATAATTCTTTGTAAATAAATATGAATTGGATTAATTCAGATGTCATAAAGCTACCGAGTTACAAGTATCTCTATCGTGTACAGCGTCTCTCTGGTATGTGTCAAAACACGTGATTGTGGTCTGTTTTTAAAAGTTCAAAATAACCCTGAAGATCCGTTTCAACCTGCTGCGCTCCAGTGTACACACACAAGTATTCAATGCATGTCATTGAAAGACAAGTCACTTAAGTACAAGTTTACAAAAATATTTATAGTAAATGTGTTTCAGATGTCCCCTCTGCATTGGCAAGAGTTATAAAAAAAATACTGATTTGGACACATGGCGTACATATGTTGTAAATTCTCTCTCCAAAACAAGCCAGAGGGAAAAAGAAAATGTTAACAGTCCCCAGCTTTCAGAGTCTGCAAACCAGACCCAACACATTATCAAATCTGACTTTTAAAGTGATCAATTTTACAACAGGTGAAAAACAGATGGTGTAGTAAACACAGGAGAGAAGATAATACTTTTGTGTTGCAGAATTTAGCAGTCAGCATCTCCTGCAACATTCTTAAATGTCTATGACTTCCACATGAGCGCTCGCTGAGCCAAAGCACTTCCCTCCTGGATAACGTTCACGGAGGGGAGAGGCATCCAGYAGAATTGTCGACTGAAGTCAGCATTCTCGTCGTCGTCCTCCTCCCTCCATGTTTGGTAAGGTGCCCGTGCAGTCATGGGGGGATGCTATGACTGGTAGCCGTACGCTAACGCAGCTAAGAGAAGTGGGAAACAAAAAAAAAAAAACAAGAGTTGAAATGCTGATGTTTAAAACTTTTGTGGGAGAGAAGAAACATTTTCAGTCAGGAGAATAACTGGCTTCACTGAGTGGCTTTCCTCCCTCCTCACCGACCTGAATGAAACTGTGCCGTGCAGCAGAGTCCCTCCCCCCTTGCGCTCTGGTAAATGGGTGACACACACACTCTGGCGGAAGGGGGGAGGTGCGTGAGTCGTGTTGACAGGGAGTCAGGTGGCAAATAGAAGGAGGAGCGATGGCCTGGCACGGAGCTATGCTGCGCCTCCCAGGTGAGCCAGTAGCCCCTCAAACCGTCCACCCCGCCCTTCCAGTCCACCTGCACCGAGTCACTGCCAACGGTAGTCAGCTGGAGGTCTGCCAGGGCTGGAGTCACTGGATAAGGAAAACCTTAGATGTTAGTCAGGGCGTACTTCAAAGGGAAAGAGAGCAGAACCAGAACTACAGAGCCGACTTCACTTGGATTATAACTGATCCTAGGTTCAGTAGAAGCACAAAACTCACTTTAATGTAAGAACAATTRTCAAATTTAGAAGATRAAAACGGTTGTTACTGTTTGTTCTTGTATAAAACTCACCTTCTTGAGTGCACATTTTGACAGACATCGCCTTCTTCTTTCCTGACGCGTACTGAGCGGTCACTGTGACCAGGTACGTGGTGCCGGGTCGGAGGTCTTTCAGCAGGGTTGAGTTCTGCGCCCGGCCCACCGTGACCGTGTGGAGCTCTCCTCTGGGCAGGGCCGAGTACTCGATGTAGTAACTCGCTACCGCCTCTGGCTGAAGAGGACCCCAACTCACCCRGGCGCTGGTTCGCCCGGACTCAGAGACTGTTACTACAGATGGGCTCACCGCCTCTGGAGCACAAAAGCAAGAAATTAGGGAAATTGTCACAATTCTTTTTATGCATCACAGCTACAAAACTTTTTACTGATAGAAAAGTTTTTTTTCTTTAAAATTTTCATGTTAATGTTAAAAATGTGTTTATTGTTAAGTAAGACTGATGGAAGAGTTCTAGTAAACAATGCAACTCTTTATTCAGCCATTCAGAATCACAAAGCATTCAACAACAAATAAAAGAAGCACACCCTTCAAACTGAAAGGTTGGGCCGTATAAATATTTGCAGTGTTTGGATTTTTACAACAGCCAGTATTTGGGTCCTCTGGATAAGATACAATAAACTTGCACAAAGTAATATTTGGATGTACATGGGGGTCATTGGATGATCCCGGACGAGACCCCAATTTATGTTAAGACTCKGCTCTTTTGGCCACAACATAAAACGAGGACTGAACTGAAATGTGGACGTTTAAAGGTTTATATTCTAAAAACAATCAGCTAAAATAACTTTGCATGCAAAACAGTCTAACCTGGTTTGGTTGTGAAGGAGACAGAGAGAGCGTTAAATGAATGTTCGTTGGACTCTGGAATTAATTTGGCGGTATAGGTGGTGTCGGGCTTCAAGCCGGTCAGCCTGATGCTGTTRGACTCAGCAGGCTGGGTTAGTCGCTGGTAATGACTCCCACCAGTGCTCGGACTGGTACCGCTTCCGCCGCTGCCTCCGGCCCCTTCTGTCGGAACCTGAGCAAAGCGGATCTCGTAGTAGCCCGTCAAACCGGACAGAACGGGCCGCCAGTTGAGGGTGGCGGCGCTGGTGGTAACGTCTCGAACGTTGATGCGCTCGGCTCGGATGATCTCTGTTGGAGAAAACTGAYGTTATTGTGCACAAAACATGACACAAGAAGAAGAGACGCAGAGAAAAACACTTCTGACTTCAGCCAGACTTAAATTTCTACATGCATTCACAACCCTTGAAATAAGACAACTTGAAATAGCAAACTAAGTGAGGCCCTGCAACAAAATACCCAACTCCATAGAGATAYTGATGTCCGTGTTTAAATCACCGGGCTCTTACCAACGACACAGTCTTTATTTATACTGTGCATCAAGTCTTACATATGCAGCACACGCTGTATGAAGTGCCTCTTCTGACTATTATGGCAGTTACTTAATCTAGCCTGAGAAATGGGCAATCCCCCCCACAGTCTGTATTTATAAACACGCATCATGTCTGGAATAACGCTGGAGGATGAAGAAAGAGTTGAATCGTTAATCCATTAATAGATCAGACTATCAGGTTTCACATGCAGACAGGCTCTCTCAGTGTCCCGACATCCTATTTAAATCCCTCCTGAAGAACAGGAGCAGAGACGTGTTACACACCTGGCAGAAAACTAAAGCGGGCTGTGGCTGCTAACAAGACGGTTCTTAAAGCCACTGAATTATACTGATTTTGGTTTTATCCATTTAGAATTACTCACATTCCAAATGATTGTTTACTGTTTGATTATATCAGAATTGAGACAAAAGATAAAAGCGGTAGTCGTAAACTTATTTATATTGCAACTATTAAGATTGTTTATGGTGTCATTAGGTTGCGACTAATTAGATTAGAAGCTCTTGAATATTTGAACAACCAATCATTTGCCACAAATACTTTGTGAACCACAGATTTGCTGTTTACTGATTTAAAAATTGTTTTGTAATACTTTTCAGCCTAATGTCTGTCAATCAAAACATTGATTTTATGTTTTATTGTTGTAAAGGACTTTCAATAATTAATTATTTAAGATTTTAATGCATTATTTAAACATCTCTTGTTAATAAATAAGAAAAAAAACATTTAAGTGACACAATCCAGCCAAAACATATCTACCTAAAAGTCATTTTTTATCAAGTTTGTCAGGAATCTCAAAAATGTTAAATGGTACTGAGCTTATAGAGTGCTTTTCAAGTCCCTCCGGACCCCAAAGCGCTTTACACTAACAGACATTCACCCATTCACACTCACATTCACACACTGAAAAAGAGACATATGCAGTAAATAAATGTTTTCTTTCCTGAAAAACTTGGAAAAAATTACTTGGGCAATTATTTTAGATAAGTGTCGAYAGTTTAAGCTCAAAACTACAGAGGAAATTTAAATGTATCTGAAAAATGAGGCCAATGTCGAAATGTMTTGCATTTCTTCTAATTACCAGCAGAGGGCGCAGCTACAAATTTAAACTGTGTGTCAGCTTTTTAGTTGGTACAAACTGTATCATCTTATAAAAAGTCTATCAGCCACAGTGCTCCGTTTAACCCGACTCACCGATGATGGCGTCCCGCAGGTCTTTTGTGATGATGCTCATGTCATCGATGTCCACAAAGTACAGGTGGTTATCCACAGGGGGGGTCACCACCTCCCTCAGCACCTTGTAGTTGCTGTGCCCGGTGGAGACCACCAGCACCGCCACGCCCTCCTCCCGCAGCTCCGCCATTGGTCCGATCACGTCCCCGGGTTTCACCCCGTCGGTCATCCACACCAGCACCCTGGGCAGTCCCGCCCGAGCCCCGCCCTCCGTCCCGGGTCGCAGCGCCCACTGTTGTGCCATTTTGAGAGCGTCCACCGTGTTCGTGTCCCCCCTGAGGGGCCGGATGTTTTTCAGGGCCCTCTGCAGGCCGTTTTGGGTGAGGTGTCTGTTGAAGTTGAACTCGAGGCGCGGCTTGGTGCCCACCTGCAGGAGTCCCACCCTCACTTGGTCCTCTCCCAGCGAAAAGGGCAGGAGGAGCTCGGACAGGAAAGAGAGCATGCGGGTGTGCTCGTAGGACGTTACGCTCCCGGAAGAATCGACTAGAAACAAGACGTCGCCCTCGCAGCAATTCAGCACTGTGGGGAAAAGAAAAAAAAAAACAGATTGATACGGTCATCAGTCAGGAAATATGCACTGTGCTCATCTGAGAACTGCACACATTTTCCTCCAGAATTCCTTTTCACCCTGCAGATTTTTCCACAGGTCTCTCCTCACACCACCCCCCAAAAAAACCACTTTCTTGGAAAAACACTCTGATTGCAATATGGGGAGTATTGTCAGCATGAAAACCTCAGCAGCAGAAAATCAGAGGCAAATCCAGGCAATTACTGTGTCTGTGGGCGAAAATCAAAACAAACAGCAAAACCATGCTATTGAACAACGTTCAGAAACGGCAACAGATCCACGGCCTCCAGGCTACGAGCCGTCTCCGGTTTTACATTTTTCACAACTCAATTAAACATAAAAGATACCATCAAAACGGAGGGAAACGAGGGAAGGAAAGCTGTCGTTTGTGCAGGAGGAGGTGAAAAAGAAGGAGGTCTAAAGGGAAATAAAAGGTGTTAAATAGAGTTTAATGTGGGGGAGTGGAGGGGGGGTACAGGCAGTTCCATATGAGAGACAAGGAGGAATGCTGTGGGGGGGGGCAAATACAGCAGCAGAAAGACGACACGACAAGCCGCAGCAGCAGAGACAACATCTAAAAGAAAATATTTGGTTGGAGATCTTCAGATTGTGCACTCGTCCAGAGGAAACCCACCCCGCTGCTCAAGTCCCAAACCAGGAGTTCAGAAAAATAAGCTTGTGAGAGGAAGACTGTGAAAATTACGTTTTTTCTTTCCTGACTTTCGGCTCAAAACTCTCCTTTTTCTCTGGATTCCTCTGGAGTGATGAAAGCTGGGAAAGCAGCGCAGCCTACGCACATAAATCAAACATTTGCACA